TGACTCTCAAAATTGTCGACTTGTCAGACTGACTGGGTCTGTGAGACCCACGCATTTTTTAAATCAAACATCTAAAAAATATTTTTCAATTGTTTTTGTAAGTTTTGAACGATTCTGCGTCGATAAAAAAACGAATTAAAAAATATCTAGTAGTTTCGAAAATAATAAGCATCGTTAAAAAAAAAAAAATTAATTTTTACCGGAGACGCCGATGCGCAATTTTTGAGTGGGTCTGGGAGACCCACAAAGGATTGAGACTCTTTTCCGGAAAACTTTTTCGAGATTTTTCAAATTCAAATAAAAGAAGTTTTGCTCGCGCAAATACTTTAAAAACATATATATATATACACACACACACACACACACACGTGTACGTATCAGGTGATAATACGGCGAATATTATATTTACTATTGAGTTGTTTCCTTGTGTTTCAAAAGCAAAGCTTCTACTCTGTGCCGCGTGAGGTCGGATGTTAAATTTAGACAACTATAACCGTATTTTTGATTTGCTTTGTATCTTCGCGATCTTTGTTCGATCGGCTAGTTAAGCGTGCGATCGCGTGTCGCGTACACTTCCCTTCGACGTTCCCAGAACGGACAGCGCGCAAAAAGAAGAGGAAGAAGCGAGGGTTTTCGTCGACGCGCGCTATAAATGAAATAACATTTCGGCCAGCGTGACAGATTAATCTGCTGCCTTTCTTACCAAGCTTCTCGGCCCGCACGAATATCCCACTTCTCGCGCCGTAAACATCGTATATTTCCGCGCGCGGACATCAAGAGGTTTGCCCTCGAAACTAACGTAGTTTACGTAGTTTCGTCGAGCAGCTGATGAGTAGCCAGTACGTAAAAATAGACAGCGCCATTAAGAGAGACTCGGATTCTCTAAAAAAATTAATTGATCTACTTTACTGTGTCAAAAAACCGCTGTGTAGTCTCACAGTTTGCCTAATGGACTTCGCTATAGCTGCTCGTGTAACGCGCGAAACACTTGTGCGTTTTATTTTGACATACCACACGATATTTAACCCTCCCTCGCAGAGACAGACATGGGTCTCTCACTTCAAAAATTGCTCATCGGCGTTTCTAAAACTTAGTTTTTTTTTTTTAAGCCCTTTATATCTCCGAAATTACTAGATTTATTTTTTTAATTTGTTTTTTTTTTATCGACGTAGATGATCGATTCTAAAATCGCGCGGGTCTCACAGACCCAGTCGGTCCAAGTAGTCGTTATTTTTGACGGTCCGTTCACGAAGGATCGAATGATGACAAATACAATTCTCTTATATTGCTTATGTTTTGTTGCGACATTCTTTTAAAAAATTTATTAAACTTGTATTTTTTATAAGAATAAAATAAAAAAAAACAACTTGTGCGCTATATTTAACTTAACGATGTTACACAACGAGAGCGGATAGCCGTAACACGCGGAAGGACAAGAAAAGAATCCGTAGACAACAGTGTTCTCTTTTATAATCGCTGCGACGCGCAATTGAGGCGGATATTGAGGGAAAAAAAAAAAAAAAAAAGGATCAAAGTGATCGCGCGAAGAATTAACGGTTGCCTTGAAATTGCCAGCGAAGCGAGAGAATAGCGAGGAATTTGCTTTTTATATTGGCAATCGCGCGTACGCAGATATTTTATATTTATTGCGACAGGTTTGTACGTAAGCGTTTCGATGATGATAAGAAGCGAGGAAATCGATTGATTCTTGCGCGAGCAACGGGACTCGTTTCGTTATACCGCCACGCGTGTGTCCGATTCGCCCGGCTAATTAGTCGATCGCGCGTTTGATTAACCGCGGCGAAAAAATGTCTTTTTCTCATTCGAAATGTGTGCGCCGATTGGTTGTTGTTTTTAGCCCAAGGAGGAGATACAAAATATGTACGTCCAAGCGCGAAGTTGGAAACAAAAACTATGCGGGAAGATGAACGATCGTGATGAGTGTTTCGTAAATTTTTGGGGGAGAGAGAGAGACAGAGAGAGAGAGAGAGTTAAAAATAAATTCGAGAAAAGAGAGAAACAGATGAAAGGAGAAACTCTCTGCGAAAGGGTTGCGTTGTTACGTTTCTTTGTCCCGAACCGGTTGCCGCGACGCGATTTCGCAATCGACGGGAAGGGCCCCTTCCGGCCCTTTACGACGAGTCTCTTCTCGACCGATCGTATCTTCTTATCCGCATGACTCGTAAAACGTGCGAAACCGTTGGCGGGGATCACGGAAGGGAATCACGGTGCGTGTCGCGCAACGTGATGTATGCATTACACAGGTGTGCAAATGGAAGCGGGAGAATAAAGTGTTCTTGAACGCGCGCGCGCGCGCGCACTCTTCTTTCTCGGTAAGGGTGGGCAAATAATAGGTGATCGCAAACGTGTGTGCGACTACTTAATTGCTCGCCGTAAATAGACATTTCACGTAGTGAAACGCGCAGGTGTGCGTAGAAAGATTCAATCACTTGTTCGCGCGATGAGGAAGAATTCACACCTAGAGATAGGCGCTTTTAAAGTTTTTAAATAAAAATTCGCGCGATCCCACGATCGGCGCGACCACTTTTTCACGTCCGCGATTTAAATCCACCGGGCGCGAGTCGTCACTTCCGGGAGAGAACTTTTATCTCCCGTCCTCTTTGCGCATTGCGCCTATAAAAGGATTATACGCTTATCTTGCGCAAACACAGAGCAGATTTGTTGCAAATAAAAGCATGGTCGTTTTAACACACACACACACTCTATCTTCTATTCCACACGCAACAGGTCAACCGCGCCGAACAAAGAGGGGGATGATAATTTTCTTGCGCTCTGATTGTGTGCGTGCGTGTGTGTGTGTGTGGTGTGTGATGCGTGCGTGTGTGTGTGTGTGGTGTGTGATGCGGGCTTGTGTGCGATATGGGCTCGAAAAAAAGAGCAGGATGGTGACGTCACGTGAACCCGCTCCGGTCACTGGCAACGGTCGTGGACAAACGTGCGACGAACACGCGCGAGCGGATACAACATTCGGGTAGGTCCCACAAAGGCAAGTCCCCTCGGATTGATAATAATTACGGGAGGGGCTGAAGCGGACTTCCGCTCGTATGTGTATGCTACACTCGATCCACGAACGCGAACGGCCGTGCGTTCGGTCCTAACGCGAACAAAACCACCTACGGATATTTCAGGAACACACAACTCACTTGAGTTCCGCGCGCGACATTTATTGCGCGGGATTTTTGTGGGCGAAAAATTGTGCGTGGGCACAAGGCGCCGCGCGCGTGCCTCAACCCCCCTAACATTTCTCAACGTTCTTAATGACGAAGAGAGGCTTAACATATATTTCTTGAAAAGAAAAAAAATAGTCGACAGTTCTTTCGACACCTGCGGCAATTAGACAAGTAAGATTAACCGCGCACACATTGTCTGTTTCTTTTTTTCAGCATATTTTATAACTGTTAATAAGAGGTGTATTTATATATCGTCACTCCCTACGTATAATTACATAAGTGTCACATACGGGATTTTCAGTTTATTGCATAGTAACACGTAGAAAGTCATGTTCTTTATGGTCGCCAAATATTAAAAAAAAATATTCATAAGTAAGGTAAAAATTTAAAACCGAAAGATCTCTTAACTAGGGAAACTATACGAAGCTTTAAACTTTTAAACTGCTCTCTTTTAAAATTTGCGTTTTGGAGTTACGGGATTATACATAGAGAGTGACGATATATAGATATTATTTATTTATTAAACTTAATCCTTGCCTTTCGGCTTTGGATGGCTTCCGGTTACTTTACATTTTTTACATTTTACTTCTTTACATCTTTACATTTGCCCGAAATAACTTTCATTTTCATTTTAACATATATATATATATATATAGAAACTTTTAAATTAATTTTTCACGTTTATTTATATTTTAAACAATTTGGAATTCTAAGCGATCGCTTGAAGAGAAATATATTATCAAAATCACAATTATTTAATAAACATATGACGATTGCATTTTTTTATGACTTATACTCTTCCTCAGGCACAAAGTTTTTTCAAATTTTCAAAACAACGTTACAGTTTTTACATTACATAATATTGATGTTATTTATTTCATCAAATTATAAATTAAAAGATACTTTTGTTAAAGATCAATTTAAACAGTGAGAATTTAATTTTTATTGTATTATTAATTATATAATTAATATAAAAGTTATTTTTAAATAAATTAACCAGTATCTTGTCTAATTAATGTCTAATTTGCATGGATATAGTCATTTACATAAAAATTTTAATATGTGTGTGTTTTACTTCCACGTTTCTTGTAATTGATGTGCGTTTGACAAAAATCATACAAAAGCCAATTTCTAGGATTAATATCGCTCGCTTTCAAACTCGTTGAGAGGAGACTCGCATTTGTGCATGTAGACACAACTTTACGTAAATGCTACAGATGATGCGCACACAAATAAAAAAAAAAAAAAAAAGTGTACTACGGGATTCCGGATAATTCCGCGGTTTCGAGCGATTAGTTACCGTCTGCTGAATGCTCGGCGAAATAAAGGCCCGACGGAAACGTGTGGTCTGTTACTTTCAGAATAAATAATACCGCGGCCGTGCATGAAAGGGCTTGCTCCGTCATGGCGAGCTGTAAAGTGCGCCACGGTCAGAGGAACACACCTGGCCTTTTATTTATTCTTTTTTTTTTTTATCTCGTCGTTAAGAGAAGAATCGAAACGAAAGGATCTATCTTAGAGAAGAGCGAGAAAATTCCGCGTCAATTCAAAACCGTCGTTCTCTCACGAGCGATAAAAACGTTTCCGGGGGGAGTTTTCTTTTTTGCGCGAAAAAAATAAATTGTCGCGAAACACAAAGTCGCTTCGAGTAGTAGATACTGGGGGGACTAAGATCGCGCGTTTTTTTCGAACGAAATAGAAAACAGAGAAAGATACCGTAACGTGTTAGGTGCGCGGCGCGGAAAGACATATCGAAGATGAATATGCAATAATAACGCGGCGGCGCCGACGAGGCATAAATAAACTCACCTTTCGAAGTTTCTCCAATTCATTCGCATCCGCAACCGGCTGTGCCGCCTGTCAAGAAATAGAAAGCATCGAATTATTTGACGGCGCTTCACACATTGTTATTGTGTGTATCGAGAGTATATATATATTCTTCAATGAGAGAGAAATAGAGAATTATGCGCGCGCGCGCGCGAGCGCGTATTCATCTTTCGACATTTTAATAGTGTCCGGGGCACAATGGCGGATCTCGCACGCCATCGCGGCAATGTTTTCTGAACGGGGAACAACGTTTGTTTTATTGTATTTAAATCGGAGTTGTGCAAAACTCTCTAGCGCGGAGTTTGTTCTAACGCTCGAGAGATTTCATCGCGCTTTGCTTCTAATTTCGTAATTAGCCGTAAAACAGGAACGCGCGCGCACGGCTAGATAGGTATGCGCGTGTATTGGGGCAACGTATTAGTACGTACGCAACGCTGTTAATCTCTATCACAATCCTTACGATCCCGCGCTGTCATAATTCACACAAGCCATGATATTAAACCTCTAAGCAGCACCGAAGGTATGTAGAAACAGTTTCATATAGCTTTATGTTATATACGAGAGAGAGAGAGAGAGAGAGAGAACGAGAGAGATTAATTCCGAACAAACAAGGTACACACAAGATATTTTCCGAGAACCGCGAATATAAATTCTCGAACTATATATCGAAAGAAATTTATTTTATACACTTGTACAATTTAAATGATTTAACAACTTGTCAATTTATTAATTTATTAAATAAATTCTTATTTAGTAAAGCAATTAGATGTTCAATTTATTTACTTTATTTTGTGAAGTTGATGAAAAAATTTAATACAAATTTTGAATTGAAGATTTTCTTTATTTATCGAAAGATTGTTTAACCTAGAAATTAGCTCTCTCTCTCTCTTTGAATTAAACAAAAAAAAATCTAAAATAAACAAAAAGAAATGTGTATACACTATGAGAACTGGTGCATTCCTTCGCGTGAAATTATCCATAGACCGGATAATATTTTTAGCATCGATGGAATTTCTCGTGTATACGCACAAAAAAAAAAAAAAATAATTGCAACACATCTCCGGATGATATTTCACGTGCGTGGTTACCGTTAGCTCGATATTAAAAGAGCGAAACAGAACCGGCACGTTGTGAAAGAAAATACTGCAAAACAGCACAAAAGGCATTCACCTCCTTCGGCTTCGGCTGCTCCCAGAGAACGGTTCGCTCCGCAGCGACGGCGGCGGCGGCGGCGGCGTCGTCGTCGTCGTCGTCGTCGTCGTCATCGTCGTCGCCGTCACCGCCGTTCATCGCCGATTTGTTCTGGGTCGCGAAATTCACGAGCGAGATGAAGTTGTTGTTGTTGCGCGCGTTGTTGTTGCGATCCTCGTTCGCGACGGCGTTGTCGAGCAGCTCGTAATCCAGGGATTTGCAGTCGCGGCCGTTGGTGATGAAGTTACGCGCGAACGCGCTCTTGAAGAAGCGACCCGGTGACACCTCGCTGCCGAGCGCGAACTCCACCTTCGGGGCCTCCGTCGTCATCGCCGTCGTCTTCGTCGCGCGAGAGAGTACGCGAAAGACAAAAAACAAAAAAAGAACAAAAATAGAGAAAAAAAACAAACCCCCCAACGATCGAACGCACTGACAGGTGCGCGAACTCGAGTCACACGCGAATCATCATCGCCGCGCGGATTGACGTTTTTCGCGGGAGACGAAAAAACCGAAAATCACAATTCTCTCTCTCCTCTGTCTCACCCGCGCGATTTTCAATTTTTTCAAATCGCCATTCATCAACCGGGTGAACGAAGAGAAACGAGAAGGATCCGCAAACGAGGAGCGCGATACGCCGGTACGTGTCAAACTGAGCGCCAAAGCCCGCGCACAGTCCTTTTCTAGGTTTCTCCTGTCTTCGTTGTGTGTGCGCATGCGGCGCGCATCGAGCGACGGTGTCCGCAACTCGACTCGATCGGACGTCGCTTACGGAAGAGAGCAGAAAATCGTCTTATTTTATATCTCTCGCGCACTTGCGACGCGCGCAAAGATCTAATTTGAAAAGTCACGAAAATTTGGAAAATTTTATTTCACATTTAACGGAGAAAACAAAAATTGACTCGAGAAAGAGATGTCACATCGGGTCGCATCGAGGACGCATCTTCAAACTCTTAATCAGCGGCAGATCGGAGAAAATGCAAGCGCGGTGAAAATGAAACTCTGACCATCTGCGACCGAGCGCAACAGCTGTACATAACACCTGGACCTCGTTTGTAGCTGGGGAATTTATCCGAACCGTTTTCCTTGAAAGGATATATTCCGTCGAAATTCGAATATAAAACCGCGACTCGAGATTACGATCTCTGTACTCTGAGTCTCCCGTGGCGAGTAAATGTGTGCAAGAGTTCCGTTAAAACGTTTCGCGTTGAATCGACGTTTTCGATACGTGATACATTTGGTTTTAATTTATTTGCAAATTTTGTTGTTAATATACGAGACAAAAATTCACACGGATCGTTCGCAAGGAAAGTTTGATCGGGATAGAATGATCGAGTAGAAAACACAGCACACAGTTTCAATAAGAAAATAATTTATTATTGTTAACGAGTATTTAATAATAACTATCAACAACTTTTTACACTTGAATTAATATTTGTATGTAATTAAAACCAAAGTGCACAAGCAACAATTATGTTGTTTTTCACTGGGACGCGTTCGGATCTCCGGATTGACTGGCTCTCGACGAGTTGTTGTTGTTTTCCGTCGAGTTTGAAACGCAAACGGGCGATCGAAACTGCAGAGACATCCTCTTGGAGTTTCTAATTACCAGAGGTGACAATTTGGGCGGTTCGCCCAAGTACTGAAGTTTCTCGAGTCGTTTTTGAATCGTGGAATTCGACGGCACGTAATTCGACGTGATGCCGAGTCCCGGTTTCGGCGTCAACAACGGCGAATCGGTCGGTTTCTTGTCGAAATTTAACGTCGAATTGAACGTCGTTTTGATCGGAGTGTTTTTGTTCGATGCGTAACGCGTCGGTGTCGCTTTCTTTTGCAATTCCACGTTAAGTTCGGAAGCGCGCTCTTTGGCATATTCAATTGGATTCTTAAACACAAAATTTAACGTGCCAAAAACATAAAATAACAAACGTCCACCCATTAAAAAACAAAAAAAATTGTAAAATTATTACTTAACCGTTTTAGTGCCAGGGGTTTTTAAAAATCCGTGTCGGATTGTGCCATGAAGCGCGATAGCGCTTCCTTCATTTATCTGCGAGTAATGCCGATCGACGCGGTCGCGCTGCTCCTTTTTTTCGTCGAAAAATGCCACGCGGCGCGTTCGCGCTTCATATTTTTTAATAATTACGAGAGGGAAGTCTGACAGACTCGCGACAAGGTACACTCCAAACCGAGAGCGTTGCTAACTGCCGATCGCGATCGAACATCGCGATACAGTTTCTTACAGCACGCGAACAGCGCGATCGCGCTGCGTGGCACTAAAACGGTTAAACAATAATTAACTAATTATATGACAAACACTTATCTCCGCGTAAGTAAGAAAAAAAAAATTAGTAGAAATAAATAATGAAAAAAGTAGAAAATAATAAAAATTAGTCGAAAAGTAATGCAAAAATTATAAATGATAAAAAAACATATAACGCGCGACATACCGTGATCAGACCTCGTAGATTCTCAAAGGGCTCGTACAAGTGATGATTTCGGCGTGGATTGCGCGTAAAAGTACTTCTCTCCGTACAATACGCAACCGGAATATTCCACGAACTTGCTCTGCGCCATTCCAAGTTCGCGCACGCCACGACAGATCCGACGATGAGAATTTCCGTGTAGCCGTAGTTGGATATTCCTTGCCAGAACAATATCGAGAGATACGAAGTGTCGTTGCTCGAGGGAGAATTCGGATACGCTATATGCGCAACCTCGAAGTCTTTCATGCCCTACAACACACATCCGTTCGACATCGAGAAATCGTCGGTACACAAACAAGAGAGAATCAATATGTGAGATGTTATTTCGTGAAATTTTTAAGATCTAACTTTTCTGCTTCGTTCAACAACTTCGCGTCCTTCACAAAAACAAAGTATGTCGCGCCTTATACTTATTTTTTTTTTTTTTTTTGTGACACTCGGATTGAAGATCGCCAGGAAAGCTGGAAAAAAAAAAAAAAAACGAACGAACGAACACTTACGTAAGGCGCGGGACCAACCGAACAGACAAAACCGATCGTGTCGAATTCCCCGTAGGGCGGCGCAAATTCGGAACTCGTTATTTCGCGGAGCGGCGTGTACGTTCTGGGGGGATGGGACATGTCGCTCCTCTTGTCCGGTTTGAAAATTGCGCAGCGGCCCGCGGTGAGTTGCAGCTCGCTTCCTCTGTGTATGTCCAACACAATGTCACATATTATACATGTGTATATATGTATATATATTCGTTAAAATCCAACATTACGTCGCGCGATACAGTTACGCGCAATTCTCTTTTGTGAGAAATATATTATAACATACCTCTTGCCGGAAGCCACGACGTTGCGGAGCGAGACGCAGGCGCCTTCCTTGACGGTGTCGACGATCTCCTCGCTCGGCAGCCAAATCGAGAGAATAGCGTTCGCGTTGTCGTCGCACACGCGAACTTTTAGCAACGGCGAGACCTGACGCGGACCCGGTAAGCTCTGACGCAACTTCGACTGTAATTGCTGCTTGAATCTCTCCTCCTTCTGACGCAATTCCTGCATCAGTTCGTTATGTCGTTGTTCGGAGACGAAATCCTAATTACGACATAGTAATTACACGTCGCGACACGTTGAGAATTAAAAAAAAAAAGAAAAAAATTAAACCGCGTGTGCGTACCTCCGATGACAAATTCTCGTAATCTTCATTCAACTGAATTGTCATGCCGTCGATCTCGTCGGAAGGAACTTTATCCTGAAAGTCCTTCTCCGCTTTGGCGTAAAACTTCTCTATGTCGGACCAACATTGCTGCTCGTACTTGCTCTGCGCTTTCTCCTCGCATTTAGCGTTTCTTACAACTATCGCGGAAAATCGGGGCGCAAAGAATTTAGAGACAGAACGTAAAATTACAACTTCGAGTTTCGTGGCAATTCTCTACTCTAACTCCGAGCAAGAATAGAACAAAAAGAATTATCTTACCCGAATCTCCGGACGCGGTTCTCTCGTGATATAACATCGGATACACTCTGGCGACGAGAACCGTCATCTTGCCGATTAGGCCGCCGTTCGGACACACGTTACGCAATCTGATGGGTATCGGTCCCGAACGCGGCGTGTATCCCAATTTCGCGTGCCATCGTGCGCGCCTGGTTGAGTTCGTGTGCAATTTCAGACACACGTCTGCGGTTACCTGGGCGACAGAAATTTCAAAGAGAAAAATCAAAGACAAGATCTCTCTCGCCGGTCTAATCCGATTTGCGATTAAAAAAAAAACATAAATAAATTTACGCCTACCTCCAGTGGATAACAACCTTGATCGCAGTTCAACAACTCCGCGCCGGACATCACCAGCTTAGTGCCCTCTTTCACTTTACCGGTCAACAGATTCTTCACCATGCCGACGTCGACGCAAGCAGCCACGCCGTACCAGCCGTCCGTCAGTTCTATCTTCCATTTCGCCGCGCTTTTAGGAGGACTCGTTTCCGCTGTCGAACTCGCATTGTCGTTCTGCAAATTAGAACGTGAGAAAAATCTCGGCGTGATTTGAAGAATATTTTCGAATACTGAGAGAAACTCGATGTGTTTTTTTTTCTTTTTTTTTTAATTACTTCAATTACAGACGATACGCATAGAATCATTCTCTTCGACGCGACGTCGTCCTTTTCCAAGATACGTCTCAGAGCCGGTCGCTGGGACCGATCGATCTCCCGATCGTAGCGATACTTCAGTTGCGTCATTACGTGCGAAGGTGTTAACGATCTGACGGAGGAATTACATTCTATTATTTAAATCAATTAATTATCCGACAATCAGTTACTTTTTTTTTTTTTGTTCAAACTGTAAAAGGATCGATTTTAAATTTAGTTCTCTGTGTGTTTGTTTCTCAATTCTCTGAGACAGAAAATCCGTACCTGGGCAATTCGGCCGATCCGAATTTCATCCTGTCCATAGACGCCAATTTCCAAACGATCCAACGGTAGTGATTCTCGATCCAGCGCGCGGGAACGAGATTCGGATCTACACCCGTGCTCGCTAGGAAGCAGCGCTGAAATTCCCAAATTCCCACGTACCCGTTCTCATCCATGATCAGACGCGCGCCGTCCCCCATCTCGATCCCGCGCACGTTGCTCCGCGCCACGTCGCTTCCGTAAAAATCGGAGCATTGAAATTTGTACGACGCGGCGGTCGCGGACGTGATCGTCAGAACATTCGGTGGTACGCGCCGTTCGATCAGCTCCCGTGAGGTGAGCGGCACGGGCGGCGCGCCGTTACCGATATCTTTCAGCGACAAACGGGCCTTGGCGTTCGCCTCCTTGTAACGATACAGATGACCCACCGACTGCTTGCATCCGTGTCTTCTTTTCGCGGTGATTACGCTCTCTTGTTCCAACGTGGCCGCCAGACGATCCTGCAGAATCTTTACCGATTGATCGACGAAGTTCATCATTAACTGAGTGTCGTCGTATTCGATCGATTCAACGTTTTCGGTCTTCGCATTTTGTCCCGGCGCGAAATCTCCCGTCTTCTTCGCGTCTTCCAATTCGTTCAAATCGTCGTTTCTTTCGCGAGACGCGTTTTCCGACACGTTCTCTCGTATCGGCGCTTCGTTCGCATTCTCTTGCGATCCACTTTTCTTCTCCCCGCGATGTTCGAAACTTCTCCGCTTCCTGCAAACGGTTTTTTTCGTTCCTATAACCGGACTGCCCGCTGCTTCAGATTCGTTCGGTTCCGCGACATCTTGTTTGGGCGTTTCCGAGCCGGATCTCGCGACAAAACTCAATTGCTTGTTTTCGTTCGGGTTTTCGTCCGCGTTTGCATCGTCTGGAAATAATTTTCTCGCTTGAAGCTCGTTGCTGAGCCGAGCTTTCTTCGACTCGTGTCTCTTGAACTCGCGGTTTCTAGCACCGAGCGGTGTGTTCTCGTCCGAATTGGACGAGGCGGGATCGCTCGATTTGCGTTTCTGCAGCCAAGACGCGTACATCAAGTCGGGACTGTTCTCATCCGCCGAACAATCGTCCAGACGTGCTCGTTCTCTCGGCGGAACGTTGATCAGCACCTGTTGAATTCCGCTTGTTGTTGAATCACATCGTTTCGCATCGTCTTCAAGATCGATATTTTCTCGAACGTTCACTTCCGACGAATAGTCTAATCGATTCGCCAACAAGGTTTTCGGTCTGTACAAAACTCGTCTTGGAATCTTGACGGATGTATCGCGAGCGGTCTGAATTTCACGTCCAACACTCGACAGTTCCGCAAACTGACTGTTTCCTATTTTATCGATAACGTTGTTTCGCTTTGTGACAACCGATTCCAGTGGACTGGTCAGTCGTTTCGCGAACGTTATCTTCGCTTTGGGCAACGTTTGCGCAGAATAATTAGACATTGCACTTCCACGCCCGCTGTCTGCTTCTTCTTCTCGATTAAATTCTTTGATAGGAAAATGATTGTTGTTTTCCGCACTGACCGATTTTGATACGGCGTAATTTAAATCATTATTGAATAACGCTTGCGCTTTGGACAACGCCGACTGCGATATCTTCACGGATGCGCCGCGAGCAGTTTGAAAACCGCATTGAACATTCGGAAGTTCCTTCGTCTCTTGTTTGATTTTGAACTCATCATTTAATTCTTCCGCAAACAACGCTGTTTCTTCAGACAGTTCTTGTTCGAAATTTTCTTTATCAGAAACGTCATCGAATTGTTCCTCAACCGACGCTTTCGCTTTGGACAAGGACCGCGAGATCTTTGTGGATGTATCGCGAACAGTCTGAAAACCGCACTGAACACTCGAAAGTTTTACGCCTTGCTTGTTTTTAGACTGATCGTTTAATTGTTCCGCGAACGATGCTCTTTCTTCGGGTTGCTCTTGTCCAAAAGTGTCTTTATCGAATATATTATTTAACTGTTCCGCAAATAGTGTTTTTGCTTTGGATAATGATGATTCTAAAATATTTATAGACGAACCACGAGCGGTCTGAAAACCGCACTGAACACTCGAGAGTTTTACATCTTGCTTGTTTTTAGATTGAATATTTACTTCTTCCGCTAGCGATGATTTTTCTTCAGGTAGCTCTTCTAAATCAAAAGTGTCTTTATCAAAAGTATTTAATTGTTCTGCAAAAAATGCTTTTGCTTTGGATAATGATGATTCAAAGATATTTATAGACGAACCACGAGCGGTCTGAAAACCGCACTGAACACTCGGAAGTTTTACATCTTGCTTGTTTTTAGTCTGAATATTTATTTGTTTCGCTAGCGATGCTCTTTCTTCAGGTTGCTCTTGTCCAAAAGTGTCTTTATCGGAAATATTATTTAACTGTTCTGCAAATAGTGTTTTTGCTTTGGACAATGATGATTCAAAGATATTTATAGACGAACCACGAGCGGTCTGAAAACCGCACTGAACACTCGGAAGTTTTACATCTTGCTTGTTTTTAGATTGAATATTTACTTCTTCCGCTAGCGATGATTTTTCTTCAGGTTGCTCTTGTCCAAAAGTGTCTTTATCGGAAATATTATTTAACTGTTCTGCAAATAGTGTTTTTGCTTTGGACAATGATGATTCAAAGATATTTATAGACGAACCACGAGCGGTCTGAAAACCGCACTGAACACTCGGAAGGTTTACATCTTGCTTGTTTTTAGACTGAATATTTAATTGTTTCGCTAGCGATGCTTTTTCTTCAGGTAGCTCTTGTCCAAAAATGTCTTTTTCAAAAGTATTTAATTGTTCCGCAAATAATGCTTTTGCTTTGGAGATTGACGATTCTGAAATCTTTATAGACGAACCACGAGCAGTCTGAAAACCGCACTGAACACTCGGAAGTTCCATTTCTTGTTCGATTTTGGACTCATCATTTAGTTCTTCTGCGAACAACGCTGTTTCTTCAGACAGTTTCTGTTCGAAATTTTCTTTATCAGAAACAACGTCATCGAATAGTTTCTCAAACGATGTTTTTGTTTTGGACAATGACCGCGAGATCTTTGTGGATGTGTCGCGAACAGTCTGAAAACCACATTGAACATTCGGAGATTTTGTTTCTTGCTTGTTTTTAGACTGATCATTTAATTGTTCCTCAAGCAATGTTTTTTCCTCGGGTAGTTTTCGTCCAAAAATGTTTTTCTCAGAAATATCATTTAACTGTTCTGCGAATAATGTTTTTGCTCTGGATAATGATGATTCTAAAATATTGATAGACGAACCACGAGCGGTCTGAAAACCGCAATGAACACTCGGAAGTTTTACATCTTGCTTGTTTTTAGACTCATTTAATTGTTTCGCTGGTGATGCGTTTTCTTCAGGTAGCTCTTCTAAATCAAAAGTATCTTTGTCAGAAATATCATTTAACCGTTCTGCAAATAATGTTTTCGTTTTGGAAAATGATGATTCTGAAATCTTCATGGACGAACCGCAAGCAATTTGAAAATCGCGTTGGATACTTGGAAGTTTTATGTTGTGTTTGGTTTCAAATTGATTAACTTGCTCTGTAGACGTGGCTTGCGTCTCTTTTGTTGTAACATTAACTGGAGAATTGTTTGCGAGAGAACGCGAATGTTCGTGTTTCTGTTCAATAAAACTTTTCTTAGCAAATGATTCATAATCCTGCATTTCATCTGCATCAAAGACATCTGCAAACAGTCTCTTCGCTTTGAGTGCTGCTTGCTTTGAGATTTTACATAAGGTACCGCGAGCACTCGAAAAATCTATATTTATATTTTCTTCGGCGTCACTTTTCTTCTCGATATTCTCGACAGCGTCTTTCTGATTATATTGGATAGTGGATCCAGTTGCTGCTTGCTTATCAAAATTGTCAGAGCATAGCTCATCTATTTTACTGAAAGAGGCATTTTTGAAAAACTCCTGTGTTGAGGAATTGGAGGTATTCATGATGAGATTCTCTGATTCCTTGTCGTTAGAATTGTCTTGAGTTTTGTTAAGAATATCAGATTCGCAATCTTTAAAAACATTACCATCAGGTACAACTGATATCACACATGTAGCGTCATGCTGTATCACAGAATCAAGGCTTTCAGAATTGACAGATATTTCTATATTCGCATTTGCTGTAACATCTTCATTACTGGTCTCAAACTGTGGATCTATAGACAGAGAGGATCTAAATATACGACGTTTAGGACGTCTTCTCATTGCTTTGGAGACAATGACAGGAGATGCAGAAGTAATGTCATCTACATCAATTTCTTTGTCCGAAACTTCAGATGTACATTGTTCAAGCTTAGGTGTTTCTTGTGTCTGAAATATTAATGACAAAAAAAACACTGTAATATCTGACACAGCTGAATCAGTACGTTCAACATAATTAAAAAAAAAAAACAAAAAGATTAGTATTACTGGTACTTTTGTTGCACTTGTCGATGAGATGTCATGAGACTGAGCCTGGGGTGTTTCTAAGTCGCTAGTCCATTGTTCGTTTATTTTATTCAAAAACGGTAACAAACTCAACGGTGTTGACGGAACTGTAGCGTTATGTGTTCTGTTATAATAAATAATACATGAAAATACAATTAAAATTATATCTTGCTTCAAAAACACATCACAGCAGTAAACACACACTTATATATGATACATCAATCGAACGTCTAAGATCTATCGCAACGTGCAAAACAAAATTCAAACCGAACATGACATAGGTAACAACAAATTTAAACTTTTACCGAAATAAAAAAAATATATCTTACACTGCGCAGTAACTATTAGATAACAACATCGAAGGTGTTTCAGACAGGCTTGGAACTTTGACATCCTGGGAGTTCTCGGACTGACATTGAATTTCTCTCTTTTGTTCGTCGTCTAAAAAATTCATGCGTGTAAATAAACTATCTCGTCACACACTATCGCGTGTGTTTCTGTGTGTGTTTTATTTGCGAGATACACATGTACGATTACCTGAGAACAGTTCGTCGGACTCGTAGTCGGCGTTGTCAGACGTCGATAAATTTTTTTTTGCGTTGCGATCACTGAACCTCGCCTTAGTGTCCATGTTTGCATTTGGTTCGTCGGTTCAATTTGTTTAAACACTTTGTTGTTCCACGTGAATGTCTAACGCGTAAAACGGAGGTTATAATTTGCGCGCCACCGCACCGACGACGATACCACGTGAAACATTTGACAAGGGAAGAACGAAAGACAGATTGCGAACGTCGGTCTGACTCTTAAACGCCGATTAAATGATACGTGCAACCAAACGCACCTGTCAGATTCTTGTACTCACGTGGCAAATATACATCGGAATATCCTTCGAGCGTTCCTCACGTGAGTTTTCATATTGCACAAAGGAAACGTGCGTGCAATCGTATTCGGCGCAATTTTGGCGCTAAACGCAAGAGGGAGGCGCAAATGACGATCGCACCGCCATCTGACGGCGGTTCGAATTGAAACAATTCACGAATGTACACACACGGGAACGGAACCGAGAGTGGAATTGGAGAGACTCCGACGAGGCGAGAGTTGTTTTTTCGTTAATCTTGGCGTTCGAGCCGACGCTTGTTTTTTAGTTCGAATTGCTATTTTAGAATTAAAAATTTTAAGTAATTTTAGCGGCGATGTGTACAATTGAACGTATACAAAAAAAGTCCATCGAACGTGAGTGACGCATCTTCGCGGATTGTAAAGGTTAGGGAGGAGGAACACGTTGGTTGAGTTTTTCCGAAATTCACTGTAGGCGAATTCACACAAGCTGTGTGGCACATGTGTCGCGTGAACTACAGATCTTCAGAGATTTGCAATATCAATAACGATAAATAACGGGACTCGTCCACTGTTCGCTACAACGTGATCTCTAATGTTGGATTAAATGCTAGAAAGTATGAAGACTGAAAATCCGGTGTTAAAACTTCTTCAGTAAGTGAACTTACAAAGAAAGAACAGAGCGAAAAGTGTGCGTCAAAAGGCGTTTCAAATCAAAGATACCATAATGTTTAAAAACTGAATATATTTGAATATACTTGAGTTGTTATTTTTGATTTGTTTACAGTTTAATTAAATTTCATTAAATTGCACATTAAATATTCACGCTTATGATTTCACACGGCTAAAGAATATTGTTGTATACTTTATACATTCTCTGTGAAAAAAAAAAAAAGATCAATATTTCTGTAGATACAAAATGGAACAGTTGCAAACGGCATTATCGTCCATTAAAGTACTTCGCTCCAACGTCGGACAAGTGTTTGAATCTCTCGCAAATGGTTTGCGCGCAGAACACGGAGAGGAGAACAAAGAATCCAAATATTTATTGGAGTTGCAGGAACTGTTGACCACTGTAAATGTTAACTTGAGGTAATTTTGATGTTGATGAGAGTTTTAAATCTGTATTTTTTTGTTATCTATAAGTAACATAATTATTCTTAATAAGATAATTATTGTGAAATAAATTATTAAAAACTATTTTTATTATAATAAATAATTTATTTTATTACCGCATATTATATTTGTCATAAAATGTGATTATTGTTGTTTTTTGATAAAAACAGAGATGTAGAGCAGGCGATAAATGCTTTAAATCCTCCACCTGGACCGTTTAACTTAGCCAGTACAACATATCTCAGTCAAGAAACAACGCAGGAAAGACAGGCACTTTACAGTACATTGGTCAACACTTACAAATGGACAGATAAGGTTCACGAATACAGCTTAGTCGCTCAGACGTTGCTCGGGCAAAATTCACTGAAGAGGTCTTACTCAAGCTCAAGTAGATCAAAAAGGGGAAGGTATCAACCCAGTTATCACAATGTACCTCAACCGTAAGTTGATCTGCCGGATAAAACGATTTTATTCTTGTAGAATATAAAGTACATTCAATTTTTGATTCAATATGATTTTACTTGTTTTTTTTTTTTTTTTTTTAACAGACAAGTCGATGCTATGATAACGCAATTTGATCGATTATTTACCGATATGACAATAACCGTAACTCGTCCATTTGCATCAAATGTGGTGTTACACGTCACATTGGGTCACGTTTTGAAGGCGGTAATGGCATTCAAGGGATTGATGATTGAGCGAGTGGTGATAAAGGGTTACGGCGAAACGATGGATCTCTGGACCGACTCCAGACATAAGGTCTTCCGGAAATTAACGGAAAACGCTCACTCTGCCATGCTGCATTTCTATTCGCCCACATTACCCGAATTGGCAGTCCGATCGTTTGTGGTAATATAATTAATAAATGATTTATAAAATAATGAATATAATTACTTGTATAATAATTATTATTTATATGATTTTTTATATTAATAATTATTTACATTTTAATTGATTAATTATTATTTATATTTGTTGAGATAAACACACCAATTTTTGAATTTAATGGAGATTTTGAATTGTTCTTGTTGCAAATCAAAAGCTTTTTGTATATATGGATGTTATTGTGATCTTTGTTTTTTTTTTGTCTTCAGACGTGGCTTCACAGTTACATTAAATTATTCAACGAGCCGTGCAAACGCTGCGGTTTGTATTTGCACGGTGCGTTCCCACCGACTTGGAGAGACTTTCGCACTTTGGAGCCTTATCACCAGGAATGCAAACCTTAAGGTAACAATTCTCCGAAGTGTTTCTCTTATTTTTTTATACACAATAATATAATAATCTATATATAATAATATTTTATTCGGAGCTGTTTGTATATATGTGTATTGAGATTTTCATATCGCGGTGACTTTTCGTTTTTCCAGTGCCATTGACATTCTTCAAAATAAATCTACTTATTTGTCAAAAAGCTTCCCGGATTGTGTGTTTACTGAGTGTTTACTTAGTGCGACTATATATATATATATATATGTAATATGTAATACTCTAAAGCAAATGTACGATAATCAAGTACAACAATTTTATATAATAATTAAGTTATGATATTTGATAAATATATTTTTCCGAGAAAGGTTTGTTGAAATGAAATATTATATATTACACAGTCAAATTTTTCCCTGTTGTCATAACTCACCGAAAACATTCTCAGGGAGAGAGGCGCTCTCTAGCGTCAGCAACCTTCTCTTCAGCAACATGGCGTCCGTTGGCGCTTGCGCAGAGACACGCGTGTGATTTTATTTGCGCGCGGCGAACGCGCGTGCGGGTAACAGCGCGGGATAAAAGAATGACAAACGCAAAATTACCGACGATAGGGAGTAATGACAGCAGAGAAGTTCGACTCTATCATATAGAAAAAAAACGTACGTAATAAAAAAAATTGTCACATTTGAGTAACAAAAAAATCGATCGAGACGAAATACCTTGGTCTCTGTTGTTTGCGCGCATACCCTTTCGGGAGGGAGGATGGTGTGAAAGAGAGAGAGAGATAGAGAGACAAGGTAGGTAAAAAAAACGTTTCCACACAGAGAAGAGAGAATGTAAGGGTTTTTATAAAAAGAACTCGATATTACACACATAACATTTAACAGATGCGAATCGCACGGAACATCGCGTTTCTGTGAAGAATTTGCAAACTATATATATCAGAAAAAGACGTCGTTTTTTTTTTCGACAATTCAAAAATGAGAGAAGAAACAACAATTACGTCGATTTGATGCACAGCACTACCGATTGCTCACAAATTGGGAACAAGCCGATTTAAACTTTACGAAATAACGAAGAGGGACGCGGCTGTTGCCGTTTAATTTAATCTCGGAAATGCGTGCGATGATTTCCGATTCCGAAAAAAATTAACGCAACAGTCGCACTCCCCCCCCTTCTCCGCGTTGTTAACAGCGATTATTTAAAATCACAAGAGAGAGAACGTATAATTACGACTAAAAATACGCGCTCTCTTTCGGCGCGTCGCCAGAAGCGGCGTGAGCGGGGGAAAGAGAGCAATCACACACCCTAATCGAACTTGAACTATTTATTTATTTTATAGCGGAGAGAGAGAGAACTTATTATCGGGGGTGCTAAATTTATCGAGATAATGTCACGGTAACGTATACAAAACAAACGAGCGCGAGCGTAAAACGTTTCTTTGCTTTTTTTTTTTTTTTTGTTTCCTCGAAATAATCCGATCTGCGATCAGTGTTCTCTTTTATTTTTTTTTTCTTGTTCTCGTTTTTAACCTACTAATATATCCTATGTATGCATATCCTTCCTGTGTGTTCAGTTATATGCCTAATTTTAAGTTTTACATAATGCTAGTTTTTTTTTTTTTTTTTTAGTATCATATGTAAATAATTACGTTATATATATATATATATATAATATACTTTTCACATAACTGTACACATTCACATTTGTTTTTTTTTCCTTGGGATAATCGGCGCCTCTCCTAAGGGGGCCGCGCAAAGTCATTTGAGTGGCAGTGAACTTATATTACATTCACACGTTTCGTTTTTTTTCTTTTTTTTTTTTTTTTTTTTTTTTTTTTTTTTTTTTTTATTGTGAATCACTCGCTCGCTGGACTTTGAAATTTCACGTTTTTTTTCTTTTTATTTATTTATTTATTTTCACGTTTTTAAGGCTCTATATACGAAACGTCGTTAATAAACCTCTCTCAACGAATTGAATTTATTTATCATCCATGTGTGTGTCCATTGACTCGAGAAACCATTTGATGCAATCATTGCTTGTCTTCTTATCAAAGTCGTGGTGAGTGCGAAAAAATTAAGTTTTTTTTTTCTCTCGCGTTTAAAGCCGTTTCTCTCTTTTTATATAATATATGTATATATGTATATATATATATAATATGTATACGTGTTATTACAAGTTTTTAGAAACGAATCTGTTACTTTTTTTTTTTTTTTTTTAATGTTATACGTGAGTTAATTACAGTTAAGTTAGTTTTTTTTTCTCTTCGCCGCGCGAGAGGAAAAAAAGGTCGAGATTCACCGACGGTTTTTCCTCCTCGAAGTTGTTGAGTCACGTGGCAACGCGTGCAGACGGAATCGTCCTTCGTTAACTCACACTTTTGCAAATCTCGTGTTTATCTCACTCAGTGTACTTGGCGGTACACCGCATCTCGGGGAAAAGGGGGAGGGGGTGAATAGAAATTTTTTGTCGCGCGTGATAGTTTTTCTTTTTTTTTTTTTTCTGAGTGCACGTATTACGTAAATAAATCGCAGCATGCCTTTTCTCGATTGAATCGTTAGATGAACGTGATTGAAAGAGGAGATGTGTTCGCTTCGGGAATGTATTTTTCGCGCGCGCGCGCGCGGATCAAACAATTCGACAGCTAATACAGATGATAATCATATACCGAAACCGCGGGATTTTGTTATGCAATTAACGCAAGATATTCGCGCACGTCGGATTTTTTGAGAGGATCTCGAAAATTTTTCGGAATATAACTCGCAACACACACGGCGCGTCTGTTAAAGTTTTTAGAGTCAATTCGCACACGTTTCTCTCGATGTGGTGGAATACGGCGCGTGTTTTGGTCGTACACGAGTTCTGGTCCTCAAAAGAGATATAACGCAATAAATATTTTTCGACCCGCGATATAAAAATTGTTGTACAGCCATAGTTTTGGTGCGCGCAGATGTTGTGTGTCAGAGAGAGAGAGAGAAAGAGAGAAAGAAGAAAAGGAGAGAGCAAGAGAGTGAGAAAAAAGAAAAAGAAAGAAAGAGAGAGAGACAGAGAGAGAATTTAGAATTTCCGCCCGTCTCGGTATATATATAAAGCTTCCAATTAATATTAATTAATTCACTGCGCCGTGCGCTACTATCGCCCTATAGTAGCTATATCGTAGTTTCTATATTGTAATATACGCCTAGCCTAGTTTTATCGATAATTAATATAGTATGATGCTGGATCCTCTGATAATACTCGTTTAATAGCAAGGAGATCTACTTTTAGCATATTTTCCTCCTTTTTTTTTCTTTTTAGTTTAGTTATTTAGCTTTTATTGCCTTTCTCACTGATTCTGTATGTTTTGGACAGCTTATAATTAAAGAGACTTCCATCGGTTCTTGTCCCCTTTCCCCGCACGAGTGATAATATATATCGTAATACGACGCGACTTATCCTTTTCGTTCGCGCGTCGTGTTGTTCGTTGCTATGCTAGATATTATTATATATATATATATAATTTTTTTTTTTTTCACTTCGTGATGTGTTCAGCAATACAAGTCGCGATTCAACCCGCAATCACACGGAACTGATTCGAAATTCTGTTTCTGTGGAATTGAACATTTTCGAATCTTCGAAATTAGAAATCCGTTTGAAACTCTCTTTTTCGAGATCTTTCTAATTTATTTTTTATCTCGAAAATTTATTTTTTAATACGATTTTCTTTTTTTTTGTTTTTACAGATAATCGGACAGACAATTTTCTTTTTTTTTCCGCAAAAGAAAGAGGAAAAACATCCTTTAATTTTTATGAAAAAATTAGATTAATCTCGCGCAGAATGTTTTTTCTTCGAAAAAATGAGATGTGAAAACGATATTCATATCCGCGCAAAACAAATCGATTCGCTTCGGCTTTGTCACGCGTTGTAATCCAATCGGGGGGAGCGGAGACCGACACGTTTTGTTTTTTTCCATCGTCATCGAATCGCGCTCATTTATTTTCCATTCCGTCGTTATCGGAAGTCGGGGAGAGAGAGAGCGACGGGAAGGGGAATGAGTCGTGTCTTCGCGTGGTACAATAATAATCTGCGGGGGGGGAGGGGGGGTGTAATTGTAATAGCACCGATATTCTTCGTGATATTCCAATGCGAATTCGTCAGACCGCTTATTGGGTTCTCGCGTGCGGGCATGGAGTGCGAACGTAAAAACGAACGAACGGGTTAAAAGCCGCCGCCGGATTGCGATTCGTCATCAATTTTTCGTCGTCGGTTCGTGTTTGTTGCGAAAAAGGATGAGAGAGGGGCTGTTTTTTTTTCTCCCGCGAAAGAGTGTCACGATGCTTCCCGAGACACGATTCTTTAAAACACGATCGCGCCAAGATCGGATTGCGCGACTCCCCCGTCCCCGTTTTTTTTCGGTCACACACTCGTCGTCGTCGTCGTGTATAAACGCTACCTTAGTGGGAAAACGGAGTAGTAGTACGCTACTTCCAGTTATATACGATTATCATACACTTCAGCGCTGGTTCACAGCAGCCGCAACCGTCTCTCTCAAGTACGTAAGGTATAGAAGTATACAAGTATATATACACGTATGTACAGCAACGTTGAAGAAGGATGATGATCGTGTTTTGTCTCCTTCTCCTTCGGAGAGTCCCGAAATGTCGAATCGCATGCACTTCCGTTGAAGAGAGAAACAAAAAACAAAAAAAAAAAAAAGAAAGAAAGATAGAAAAAGAAATCGATAACCCAGTCGAGAAAAGAAGGTTTCAATGAGACGGAGTGAGAAAAGGCATGCCTTCGCTCTTATTGATCTCGCGATTCGGCCGAGGGGGAGGAGGGGGTGGGAAACTATCGATTCCCCGATACCGGCTCGGGGGAGACGCGGTTAATCACGTGAATCGCCAATTATCGGAGGTATATTATTACGTTTGCGAAACTTAAACTCGCGCGAGTCGAACTTCTTCGTCGAACCAACTTCGACGCGGAATTTCAAACTTTGCAAGCAAGTAAAAAGTATATATATTCTCGTGGATTTTTATTGTTTTTATTGTTTTTATTTTATTGAGTTTCCGAATATATCTTGCGGAAATGTGTGAATTTGAACAATTAACGGTGACGGGAGGGAGGAGGGATGGAATTGAGACCTCATCCACTCTCGGCCGAAACGAAGTGAAGTGGTTGTAACTCGTGGGCGTTTTTTTTTTTTTTTTTTTT